TTTCATGGAATTGCATCAAATTCACTTTTGCCTAAAGTAACTAAGATTTGAGAATTTTTATAAAACATTTAGTTACTTTATAATTCATTATACTTTTAATGGAAAGGGTTTGCCCTATCCTACCCATTCGGCTAACGACCCTCCACTAGTCAAGAGTGCGGTGGGTAAGAGTGGATACCCAATGATGGTCATTTTACAGGCCGCTTCCTTAAACACCCCTTATAGACCAGCTTCGTGAATGAGGCCTACTAATGGTAAGACTGACATTTAAGTTATACATATATAATATTAGACTTTTAATTTTATATATAGTATAAGGGTGTATTTTACACTTTTAAAATACTATGTGGTCTAATTTAACAAATTACTCTTTTAATTTAATTAAATGTAAACCATATCATTATGTATTTATTAACTCTCTTTTAATTATACACTTAATTAATTTAATAAAATCATAAGGGTGCAATTTGAACTTTTCAAAAATTAGGGTTTTAGAATTTAACATTTTAAAATTAAACTTTTAATTAAAATTTAAATTCCAAAACTTGAGGGCAAGTTTTGAAACATTTCAAATTATTAGGGTTTTAATCAAATTTAAAATTTCTGAAAATTAAAACTTTTAATTTAAATTTAAAATATTTAAAACTTTGATTTAATAATTATCCCAAATTTAAACAATTAATTTGAATTATCAAATCTTGAAGGATTATCTATTAAATTAACAATTAATTTAACCTAATCCCTTAAATCCCCTAAAATTCGAAAATTGGGATGGGATAATTCAAAAAAACTTTAATTACCATATTAAACAATTAAAGGGATAATTACAAGATATGACATTATCCAAATCCCTTAAATTTAGGAATCTTATCTTGGGGAGGAGGCAATTTCGAAAACCCTAGGGTTGGATAACCCTAAATTCGAAATCTTGGAGGCTAAGGAAAGGGTTTGGGAAACCCTATCAAAATTTCGAAATCTAGGGTTTAGAAACCCTAATTTCGAAAATTAAGTCCCTAGGGTTTATTTGCAATAAACCCTAATATGTCAAATTCACACTTTTGTATAAAATCTAATTGAAAACAAAACCAAAATCTTTGATACCACTGTTGTGTTTTATACAAACAATCCTATGTGTGCATGCAACCCTAGATACAGATCTATGTTTTCACTATTAGTTATACAACGTTATGAACACAAAATAAACCTAACATGCTCCTAGGTAATTTCGAAAATCATAAAGGAGAATAGAATACATACCTCTTGTTGTTATGTTGTAATAACAACTTGTATCTTGAATCTTCTTGTCTTTGAAAGCAAGTACCACAAGTGTAGTACCTCTAATGGCTCACAAACACCAAGAGCAAATGGAGAGGCAAGAGAGAGAGAGAGAGGGGAGGTATAAAATTCGGCTCTAGGAACCCTAGGTATCAAGTCCCCGAATTTCTTATGCTAAGGGGTCTTTATATAGGTGTAGGAATTAGGGTTTCAGTCCTTATCCTTATCTGGTTGCTTAGCCACCAAGCAGCCCAAAGGATAACCCTAGAAACCTTATCATGGACGAATTCTAAGGCCTTATCCCCTTGAATTCGTCCACCCTATCATATAGGGCATCATTTGCCCTACTTTGCAACTATCACATAATTACAGTTCAATCCCCCTAGTTCAATTAACTTCTTTTGATCACAAAATTAATTCTTAATTAATTCTTGACCAATGTTAACTAAATAAATATGATTTCTCTTCTAATATATTATTCATATAATATATTAATAAACCATAATAACCTCTTTCTCTATTATTTCTCCAGTCAAGTTGCTTTGGCGAAGGCAACCCAAAAGGACCATGCCCAACCGGGTCAAGTACTTACCAAATATGGTTACGGGCTTAGACACTAATCCAACAGATACACTGCACATAACACATATATAAACAAAAGCATGTAGTGGGTCTACAGCTTTACAGACTAGATTACCCCCCCTGGGCCCACAGTGTGAGTCTGGATTGCCTTACGTGCCCACAACTCACATCTGGCTTGCCATCGAGCCCACAGTACAAGTCTCCCTCAACTCGTAACTGGAATGCTCTCGAGCCCACAGTACGAGTCTCCCTTAGCTCGTATTTGGAATGCTCCCGGGTTTGTTGATTACCGCACGAAGCAGTATCACCTTAACCCATACCACATAACATGTCCACATATAAACATAACCACTGTGCATGCAAATAATCATATATCAACACAGGTAGTCCTCCAGATCTACCTAACTGGCATAACCACTAGCATGCAACACTAACTCATATTCAACATCTAATACTGCTAAAATAACATAACCAATGGGCCGGCCTTGGTGCCTTAGACCCCTTAGTATAGTGAGGATAACTCACCTCGCAACTGTCGTCTGAAACTAGAAAGCTCAACTCCTGGATCACCAACATGAACTCCACCACCTATAGTTATCATAAAACCCTTTTTCATAAATTTCCAAATTACCAAAATACCCCCAGAGGTCAACTGGTCAACCCTTGGTCAATGCTAAAGCCAACAGTCAAGGTCAACAGTCCATGTTGACCCGACTCGTCGAGTGCAGTTTACCGACTCGTCGAGTCCTTCCTGAACTCGAGATGTCGTGAAATCCTTGGTTGACTCGTCGAGTTTCCTCACAACTCGTCGAGTTCACATGTATCAAAGGGTTGGGGAAAAACCCTATCTGACTCGCCGAGTCATACGACTGACTCGCCGAGCCCAAGGCAATCTTCATCGGACTCGCCGAGTTGTTCATCCAACTCGTCGAGTACATGACTATCTTCATATGACTCGCCGAGTCAACCCTGTGACTCACCGAGTCCCTTCAATCATTCAACCATACAGATGCTTTTTAAGTCATGCAAAGGCTCCACAATGCAGATCTAAGCTCCTAAGGCATGATTATCACGTAAAGTTGCGACCTTTACGTGCATGCAAGGCTCTATAGGCTTAGAATGTCCATCCCAAGCTTACAATGGGGTTTATCTCAACATGGAGGGTTCATGTTTGCTACAGCTGGAGACTTTATGGCTCTAAAGACCAAAGGGAGTTCAGATCTGAAGTTGCAACTTCAGATCTTAGCTCATACCCAATAATAGCTTCATAACATGATGAAAAGCCCTAATCTTCAACCCAAAAGAGATCTAGAAGGAAAGAAGGTCAAGGTAACGACTTGATACCTTCAAATGGTGCTATCTGAGGTAGATTTCAGGTCCACACGAGCTCCTTGCTGCTAGCTACTTGATCTTCAAGTTCCATTCTCTAAGAATCTTCTTCCAAGGCTTGAAACACACAAATGGAGCACACACACACACACACGTATTAGGGTTTTGCTGAACTCTCTAGAGGATGCAAAGGGAGGCTAAGGGGCAAATGGTCCTTTAAATAGGGTGCAAAACCCCGAGATTTAGGGTTTCATCTGTCAGCTCCTACTCGTCGAGTCCCTTCTTGGACTCGGCGAGTAGGTCACTAAATTACGTGGACCAAACCGCTGCTACTCGACGAGTAGGGCAACCAACTCATCGAGTAGACCTTGAAATCAAAGAAATTCTTATTTAATCAATACCTGAGAATCGGGGCGTTACATAGGTACTTCAGATTCCAAATGGAAGTGCCCGACCTGATAGCACTGCATCCTTTAGAGTTTATTTTCACATTGTCTATTTGATTTACTCTGATGTTTGAGATTACATTATACATTGGTTGACTTTTGGACAAATGGTTGTATGGTTTCCGATGGTTTAAAATGAAAATTTTTACTAGTATTTTTGGGACGTTACTTTTACCTCGCTTTAGATTCCTGGATCCATCACGTACATGTAAATACTAAATAAGAATGAACTTGTATTTTATTTTATTTTTATTTTTTTATTTTTATCCCCTTCAAATGGAGGTAAAAATAACACCAACAAAAGTACCAAACACACACATACACACACACCTATATATATATATATATAATATATATATATATATATATATATATATATATCCAAATTAATCATAATTGTGAACCCTAATTTATTGAATAGAAATAAAACTAACCTAAAATCATTAGCAATGAAACAAATTATATGATGAGATATAAATGTATCCAAAAACAAAGTTATTCACCAAATGCCAATTTATTGAGTCCATATATTATGCTCCAATACTTCATTTTACATATTTAACAAGATAACTATGCAACCAGTAAAATTGCGACTTGCGGATGTAAGACATAGGTCCTTACCTTTAAAAGTCCAATCTCTTGTCATTTATCCATATTTTGTCCATTTCACCATGAAAAACAAGCAAAGATCATCCTATTTTTACGATTATGGATCATCCGTTGATAAAGATGCTTGCGCTACAAATAAGTAATTAATAATCCTTAATTTTTAGTACATTTAACAATCATAAAATACCTACGAGTGGGTTCTATCCTTTAGCTTATTTCGTTTTCTTATTATGGTTTTATAAGCATGCATTGACGTTTTCCTAACTAAAACTGAAATGGTGTTAGTAGAACCCTCATCAACAAGAATGATGAACACACTTGCGAGTGTAAAAGTCTACAAATGATATCATTGTCGTGCAAATGTTCTTATTCGAGTGTTTGAAATTGTTTGTGTTAGTGTCACTGCGTATGTACAAATGTTTAACTGTATGTTGCCGAGTGTATCAATTCCAACTATACCCTCCAAAATATCATTTAAATTAGGGTAATTAAGAGACTTTTCTAACCATAAAGGGTAAGATTCTGATCTTAACAACCTTGCCATAAACAGTTGAAAACCATAAATTCTATATTATGATTGTTAGAAAAGTTAGTCCGTTGCTATTATTAGTAGAATTTGATAAAATAAAATCCCAAATATGAATTTAGGCTTTTAGAGGGACCAATTTCGGACATAAACTAAAGTTTAGGGGGTAAAACAGTAGCATCGTGAATGATATCTAAATAAACCAAAAGCTTAGCGAGATGGTTCTCCTCTTGCCCGCAGAGGTGAAGCTAACAAGTTCCGTCGTCGGCCGTTCTATGATTTCTTATTCTTCGTAGCAAGTAGCATCTAAACGAATTCTAGGGTTCGCAGTCATGGCTTCTCTTCTTCTTTCTAACCCGATTGTCTCATCTTCTTTCCTTGGCAAGAATCTGTAAGTTATTAAACGCCTTATCCACATGTAATTTACAAAATTATGGTTTCAATTGACAGGATGTTCTGTAAGTCTTAAGCTAGTAGCTCGATTTTGTTTCTTTTTTGTACTTTGGTAGATTTTAATTTGATGTAGCATGATAAAAATCGGCATGGTTCTAGATACTTGTTCCTTTTATAATTCGTGTACTTTCGATCTTCCAGTTCATTTAACGGGAATATAAGGAAGTCGACACTATCCGCTTTGGTGTTTAGAAGCCCTAGATGTGCTGCTGCTGATGCAACATATGGAGGTACCTAACTTAAATTTCTTATCGCTAACACAATATTTAACCTAATTTATTTATGTACTTTGTGGATTTAGCTGTTAGTTTCTCTCCTGAATTCTGAATATATGCAAACTAATTGCTCCGGATGCTTATGTGATTTGTTCAAATGATGCATGATCTCCATAATTCCATTCTCTTAATGTTATAATGAGAAGATTCATATCTTTGCTGTGTGGTTTTAGGTAACACTCCAAAATACCCTCGCAGTAATGTTTGGGATCCTTACAAGCGTCTTGGTATAACTACTGATGCTTCTGAAGAAGAAGTCTGGAGTTCTCGCAACTTTCTTTTAGATCAGTATGGCAGCCATGAGAGAAGTGCAGAGTCAATAGAAGCTGCTTTTGAGAAGATACTTATGACAAGCTTTCAGAACAGAAAGAAAACTAAAATCAACTTAAAAACCAGGCTAAAGAAGAAAGTAGAGGAGTCTCCACCTTGGGTTCAGAACTTACTTGCTTTTGTGGAACTTCCTCCCACTATCATTATTCTTAGAAGATTGTTTCTATTTTCGTTCATGGCGTTTTGGAGTGTGATGAATTCTGCAGAGGGTGGACCCGCATTCCAGGTTTGTTGCTCTAATTATAATTCTTTTTCCTTTTTCTTTGAAGTATTGTTCATTCTATTAGGTTGCATTTGTTATAGCTGTCCACATTAAGTGATATCCCCATGAACTCCAATAAGTCAATAAGAAACAACACCTTTATAATATCTTGAGTTTTGTGTTTAGTATCTTTAATTTAATTCGATCTTTTATGTGATACAGGTGGCACTGTCTCTGTTTGCTTGCATATACTTCCTGAATGACAAGTCAAAGAGCATAGGAAGGGCATGTCTTATTGGGTGAGCTTTTTATGAATCTGTTTATTGATTTTAGAATGGTTATCCAGTTAATTGTTGATTTGACCGGTTGTTGACTTTGATTACAGGTTTGGGTCCCTTGTGGTTGGGTGGGTTTGTGGTTCTTGTGTGGTGCCTATAATTCCTGCAGCCATTTTGCAACCAACATGGACCCTTGAGCTTCTGACTTCACTGGTTGTATACATCTTTCTGTTTGTTGGGTGTACCTTTCTTAAGTGAAACACTTAATTGTCCTAGATTGCATGTTTCTTTCCAAAAGAAGATTAGTTGTGATTTACTTATGTTGATCTTGTGTGTTCTTATAACTGCATGTTGGCATATGAATCCTTGGTGTACTCTTCATTTGCAATTTTTGTTAGGTTAATTTACACTAAAGCCAAATGTACCTTAAGTCATTCATCTATTTCACAGTGTACTATGATTTTAACAAATATCACCCTGTCAGATTTCTGTGAAATTTTGATTGCAAAACTAACGTGTCTTAGTGTTCAAGAATACATAACCATTCCTGATTATGACATGATTGATAAGCAAATTCAGCAACATAATTCGTTTAGCTATTCAAAGAAGTTTTTGTCAAATTGGTTAACCATGTAAACATATGAACTCAAATTGTTTGACCATGTAAACATATGTACCTAAGAAGATTTAATTGTTTTCTTTTAAAATAATTATTGACAGACTAAGGTCCCGTTTGATAGTTTCTGTCTGGGAAAGTGCTGTCTGGGAAAGTTATCTGACTGGGAAAGAAACTATGCTGTTTGATTGTACATCTGATTGACTGTGCTGAATGATGAAAAAAAAATAATAATTCAATAAAAAATAAATTTTAAAAAAGTTATTTAAAAAAAATTAATAATCCAAGAAAGAAAGAAAGAGGTGGGGTTTGGTGCATAATTGTTTTTCCAGCCCATTCAACCAGAAAGATATGATTTTGGGGCTTTCTGGGAAAGACATATCTTATCGGGAAAGATTTTTTTTGTGCAAATCAAACAGTCTTTCCGGTCCATTCAGCCAGAAAGATTTGTTTGGACCTGGAAAGATGCGTATCAAACGGGGCCTAAGCAACAGTTTTTGTTCGCATGGTTATGTGAAAAGTCTCCAACTTCAATGGGTTAAAGTCATATAGCAACTAATATTCAGTTTGTTCTTTGAGTCACTAATATTTTAGCTATATTCAATAAGCCAATAGCTTTGTTAGGATTCTCATTACACCTTTGTAATGGATTTCAGTTGGCTAGTAATTCCGATATATTGGATGTCACAATGGAAGTTAAACAAGATACAAAACAAATTTACCCATTTGATATCAAATCCAACGGTATAACGAAAAGCAAAACTTTTGTTTCCAGCGAGACTTGAACATATTCACTATCTTACTTATAAAACTATATTTTTTTTTTGTCTCCAGCAAAACTTGAACTCTCAACCTTTGGCTAATGACATATTTTCGTCAAATTCTATAACCTTTTGGTAGCTTTTCATTTATACGTAACAAAGTAAGAGAATAAAATAATATTAAATTATGCAGAAATTTTATATTTGAGATTTTTGTTAAAACCTAAAAGCTAATTCTTTTAAAAGCTCGTTATCAAACATAGAAGTTTTCGTGTGCAAACCAAAGATTACAACATGCTTCATTTCGAACATTTAGTTTGAAGATCCAATGAAATTAATGAGATCTAACATTAATAATAATCACTAAAAAGTTTAATACCTTCCATTCTTTTTTATTGTACTGTACAACTATATTCTCTCTTACAATGATTAATTTATCTTTTCTAAAAATGAGATTATAGAAGTTTTTATATGCAAAACAATACTAGAGTTTTGCATTCTCTCTTAATCACTAGAAAAAAGAATTTTCTTAAAAAGAGAAATTAATCATTGTAAGAGAGAATGCAAAACTCTAGTATTCTTTTCCGTATAAAAACTTCTATAAACTTTTTATTTCAGAATTAATTAGTATATGATATTGAGAGGATGTTGGGATTTTATTTTGATTTTTAAAAAGACTTTTAAACAAAATGACTTATTGACTTATAGTGGTAAAAAAAAAGTTTTTAGAAAAGCGATTGAATTAGATTTTGTGGTGGAAAAAAGTTAATAAATCAATAAGTTATTATTATTATATTTTTTAAAAAAATGTTTATCTTAGCTTAATGGTATTTTAAGATAATATTGACTTTTACAACTCTAAAAGTCAAGGAGTTTAGAAAAGTTACAAATCCTAACTTCTTAAAATCTCATTTTAAAGGGTCAAGGAGAAATTATTTTAAGAGTCTTTTTCGTTTTGCCAAAGACTTTTTATGAATTATTGACTTTTCAAAAAACCAATAAGTTGTTTTGAGATTTGAAATCCCAAACACTCTCTAAATAATAATCCTAATTTGTAAACATTTTTAATTAAAAAAGTTATAAACAATAATGCATTCTTTCAATCTTTCTACATAAAATTAAATAATAAAATAAATTATAGATACAATCTTTAATAAAAAATAAAACTATTTCCACGTGAGTGGGAGAGTATTTTATACAGGTTGGTTCGCTTTTGGCTTTTCAGACCCAAGATCGCCACCTAATAACTAACACCAAAAGCCGTTAAGACTTAAAAAAACACTCTTGCGATCGCCGCCCCCAACGGCGGACTTCCCCTATTCATCCTCCATTGATATACTCATATACCCATCCTTCCTGCTTCCTTACACCATTTCTCGATTCTCTCACTTTCTCTAGACTTCCAGCTTCTTACAATGGCATTAGCACCTCACGCCACCTCACTCTCAAAATCCTTCTTCTCTTCCAAACCCTCAATATCGTCATCATCAACTACTCCGCTTGTTAACCTACCGAACACCTCCCGTAAATCTCGTACGCAGTTCGTTGTTCGCAACTCCGTTACGATTGCTCAGTCACCGTCCATTTCGTCTACTAAATCATCCACTGTCAAATCGGTGAAGGCGAGGCAGATCATTGACAGCAGGGGAAATCCGACGGTGGAGGTTGATCTCGTTACTGATGATCTTTACCGATCAGCTGTCCCTAGTGGAGCATCCACTGGAATTTACGAGGCGTTGGAGCTCAGAGACGATGATAAGAACGTCTATGGTGGCAAAGGAGTTCTTAATGCTGTTAAGAATATCAACGAGGTTTTGGGACCGAAGCTCATCGGTGTTGATGTCAGGTGAGAGTTTATTTCTCACATGCTCTTTACAGTGTACATATAGCTCTAAAAAACGATTAATTCCTCAAATCTGCAAATTCTGTGATCAATTACGTTGTTATTATATTTGTTTTGCCCTAATTAAGCTTCCTTTTACTAAAGTTGAGATTATTGAAGTTTCTCTCCATTTTTTCTACATCAAGGAATCAAGCTGATTTTGATGCCATCATGCTAGAGATTGATGGAACTCCAAATAAGTCTAAACTTGGAGCTAATGCGATCCTTGGAGTTTCTCTTAGTGTATGTCGAGCTGGTGCAGGAGCGAAAGGTATACCTTTGTACAAGCACATTCAGGAGATATCAGGAACGAAAGAGCTTGTTATGCCAGTTCCATCATTTAATGTCATCAATGGAGGCAGCCATGCTGGAAATAATCTAGCAATGCAAGAATTCATGATACTTCCAGTAGGTGCATCTTCGTTTGCTGAAGCTCTGCAAATGGGTAGTGAAGGTCAGCATATTCCCCAAAAAAAAGTCAATACAATATTATTCGTATATTAGCATTCTAACTTATGAATGTGAATACAGTTTATCACACACTGAAGGGAATCATCAAAGCAAAGTATGGACAAGATGCATGCAATGTTGGAGATGAAGGTGGATTTGCTCCCAATGTTCAGGATAACAGGGAAGGACTCGTGTTGCTCATTGATGCAATTGAAAAAGCTGGTTACACCGGAAAGGTAAATGACATTAATACCCTCCATGTTCCACTTTATTTACCTTTTCTAAAGAAGGAAATTTGCAGATTAAAATAGGGATGGATGTTGCTGCTTCTGAGTTCTTAACAAAAGATGGTAAATATGATCTTGATTTCAAGAACCAACCAAACAATGGAGCTCATGTTCTCACAGCTTCAAAGCTTGGTGATTTATATAGAGAATTTATCAGAGATTTTCCAATTGTATCAATCGAAGACCCCTTTGACCAAGATGATTGGACTTCCTGGAGTTCATTACAGTCTTCAGTTGACATCCAGATTGTTGGCGATGACTTGTTGGTCACAAACCCTAAGAGAATTGCTGAAGGCATTCAGAAAAAGGCCTGCAATTCCCTCCTATTAAAGGCAAGTTACATGATAACAAGAATTACTATAAACTCTCACAAAGAAGTTCCTTTTTTTTAATTTGCTTAAATGGTGGGTTTTTTCTTGAATTATTTCAGGTTAACCAGATAGGAACAGTGACTGAATCCATACAAGCAGCTCTTGACTCAAAAGCTGCTGGATGGGGTGTGATGGTTAGTCATAGGAGTGGTGAAACAGAGGACAACTTCATTGCAGATCTTTCGGTTGGATTGGCTAGTGGACAGGTTTCATCTTTTATTTCTGTATATCAATCGCTTTTCTAATATTATTTTTAAATCTTTTGGTTAATCTTTTTGTGTTTTTAATTGTTTAGATCAAGACAGGCGCCCCTTGTCGAAGCGAGCGATTGGCCAAGTATAACCAGGTATATAATATAGAGCAAAATAAAGTTGTAAAAAAGAATTTTTAGAAGGTTGTAAAAAAGTAAATTTCTAAAAAAAACATTGGGGAAAACTTTTTTAAAAAGAAGTCATGGATAAAATAAAAACTTGTGAAACAGCAACTATTAATTTGTGATACTGAATTACATTTTTTTTTCACTTCAGCTTCTGCGCATTGAAGAGGAACTCGGAAATGTACGTTATGCAGGTGAAGCATTTAGATCTCCATGATCAAGTGGAAATAAAACAAACATGTAGTAAGTTAATTCACAAGAGTAGAGATAATTTTCCTTTTTATTGTAAACTCAACTAGGCTTTTTACCAGACTTTTATGAGGGTTGTATTGCCCATAGAAGAATCCATAATTGTTTTGAATAAAGAACATGTCGTGCATATTTTCTACACTCATAGCCTGTAAACTTTTGTGTTTGTATTGTAGAATGTAGTTTAACATCTTTTGTATTGTGGCCCTTCTGTTGGGAGATATGAGCAAAGCCTTGTTCACGTGGTTTTAGCCTAAGTTTGAACCTGATTTCGTACCCCAGACTGATCCAATAGATTGATTGGGCCAAAAAGTTTTAAAGTATATCGCTATATGGTTGT